TACTGCTGTTCATCAAATATAGTAACTCCTTGCTTAACGTTGTAGTTATGTTCTTGAAAAATGCGACTTTAAGTGAAACGATGTTAAGCGGATCCCATTTCCCCATAAGAATTAATGTAAATAGGGAAAGTTAGGTTCCAGGGAGGACTGAAACCAGGGGTTCCTGGGTGTTCACCTCAGTCTCTTCATGGGCAATTCTAAGGAGGGAAGAGGCGCCCCTACGCCTAGACACACCTACCGCACGTGTTATCCTTTTAACCTGTAATCCCTGCAATTCACTTAAACGTTTGTGCACCCAAAACTGTTCTTTGGGCATCGAAGAGCCCTTCACAGTGTCAGCACGGTGAGGAACTGGTTTGGGTACAGTTCGGTGCAGCAGCCTCTAAAGTGCAACAAATTTATGAGTCCGGTGTGGCACTGCCCCCAGACGGGACTGGACTCGGTGTGACAGAACCCATTCTGCACCTTTGCTTCAGCCTCCTCCCTGACCATGTCCCCCTCTAGGGCTGGCACTTAGTGCCCTCCCAGCCAGCCATGTCCCCCTCTGGCTCTGGTGCTCAATGGCCTCCCGATAGACTTTTGGAAGGGGCCCGTATCTTGTTCTCTCCCTAGGGCCTAGACTGATGCACAGGACCCTGCTGTGACAGTGGGAGACTCACCCCACCACTATCGCTCTGGGGCTTCGCTCCGGCTGCTGCTCTGACTCGGGGCTGCTGCATGCTCCCTGGCCCAGCTCTGCCCTGGCAGCTCCAGCTCACAGGGAACATGGGCCCTGGGCTCTTAACTGCTGACTTGGGAGTGCTGGCCTCTCCCCATTGGCCCTGGGGACCTGTCAGTCCCAGGATCCTGACTCCTCTTCAGCCCGTCCCCTTTCTCCTTGCTAGGGGGCCAACCAAAAAACCACTACGTTTCAGTAAGGGGCCAACAGCCCAACACTTGTACTCAACAGAGAGGACAAAGCAGGGCCAGATTAAGACCTTTAGAGGCCCTAAGCACTGAAAAAATTATGGTGCCCCCCCCATATGTAATTCAAAATAAAAACAATACTATACCGTAAAATAAATTTTTATTTTTCAAAATGACACAAAACTTACATTTATGCTGAAATTAAAATAGCTTCTTTCTAGATTTTCTGATTGCAAAATTCTGGTTAAGTTCATCGAAGCTGACTCGACGAAGCATGTCCGCTTCCATACACAATAGGGAAAGTGAATCAAGTCTGTCCTGACACATTGTTGTTCTCCGAGGGTTTTATATTCTTTTCAGCTGAGAAAAAGAGCATTCTGTGGCGCAGTTAGTAATCATCAATGTTAGATGATTATGAATATGGCATATGGTATGAATATGGCATATTTGTTCTGTTCTAAAAGCTTCTTCTGCATTCCTTGATAACGCCCTGACATGTTGGCAGAGTTGTCATAAGATTGACCTCTGCACTTCGAGAAATCTATTTTGCAAACTTGGCACAGATAATGCAGTACTTGATTTGCCATTTCTTCACCAGTGTGGCTTTTCAAATTGAGAAATGTTATAAATCGTTCAACTGGCTTTCCATCTGTGGGAGACATATATCTTAGTATAATACTCAATTGATCAATATGTGAAAGATCAGGTGTAGAGTCAATAGATAAACTGAAGTACCCAGCAGTACTTATTTAATCCACAATAGCTGAACGAACTTTGTCACTCATTAGACCAATGAGTTCATCACATATTGTCTTGGATAAGTATGATGGGTTACCTTTGCCAGCATTCCCATATTTTGAGATATGGCCCGCTAAAAATGAGTCAAACTGAGCCACAAGCTCCAACAATCCCAAGAAATTTCCATTCTGCAAGGATCCAAATGTGTCATTTGATCCCCGGAAAGGCAGACCACGTTCAGCTAATGTTTGAATAACAGCTATAACAAGCGGCAAGACGTGTTGCCAGTATTCTCGCTCCCCTTTAATTTGTTCTTCCAATTTTTGTGTCAATCCAAAGCCCTGTCTTCGATTTAAATGTCAACACTGAATCTCTGCGAGTAGTGCTATTTGCATGTTGTTCAATTAAAACAGTATTCCGCCAGTCACTAAATCCATCTGCAGCAAACCGGGATGTTGAAGGTTTATATGCAAAAAGTTTGCAAACAAAACAATACACAGACCCTGTTGATGGTGAATACAGTAGCCATTCTCGAGTGTATTTCTCACCATTCACTTTCATGCCAAAAAATATGTTTTGTGAACAATATCTTGTTTGTTTGCCATTGGTAAAAGTCCGACGTGATTTCTCAAATGGCCCAGTGTGGTGTTGACAGTCGTTTGGTCCACGATCTATCCAGTAAGCTACATCATCGGTACTGAAATTAACCCACATACCAGGATCTTTTCTCCTATTATTTACAGCATGAGCAGGTTCAGTCTCTGACACATCCACACCTTCTAGGACAATGTCTGTTTTACCACCAGGAGTCGGATGATCAGTTACAGTCTCTGACACATCCACACCTTCTAGGACAATGTCTGTTTTACCACCAGGAGTCGGATGATCAGTTATAGTCTCTGACACATCCACATGTTCTGGAATGGTGTTTGTTTCACCAATAGAAAAATGGTCAGTCTCTGAAACGCCTACAGGTTTTGGAACGATGTCTGTGCTACTGAGAGAAGATGTTGCTTCTGATGGATTCGCTTTGAAAAATGATGTCAGCTTTGGAAGATTTTGAAAAATTTCACTAGTTTTTTGTTTCTTTTCTTCCGCCAGTTTACGTTTCTGTGCGCCACGCAGTTGGTTACGTTTCATCCTGCCCCTTATCTCAGTTATCCGAACTTAAAAAAAAAATAAAAATATTACACAACGTACACTATTTTTATGTATATATATAAAATATATATAAGAAAAAAAATGAATCAAGTACGTATAACTCAGAAGAATATATCAATAATAAAACATACATTTATTGCAATACATGACAAGATCTGATTTCCTCGCATTATTTCAATCTACGTTAGTAGGACGCCCCCCCTGGTTTAGGTGGGGGTAAGTAATAAAAAGCTAACAGAAAAACGGGGGAAGAGTGTGGAGTGTAAGGAAGTCTAACAAAGTTCTTGTTTTTCCCATGATTGCTTCTTCGAGGCTTTTTTTGAAATTTCAAATTTAAAAAAAAAACGGGGAAGAGTGTGGGGGTTAAAGAAGTCTAACAAAGTTCTTGT